AAAAAAAAAAAAAAAAAAAAAAAAAAAAACTAATAGGCATTTTATTCTTGACTTTACCTTACTGCCTGTTTCTACAGAAGGCCATGACTGATCTGACAACAGACTGCAAAAAAGACTGGTTGTAGACCTAATTTTTTCAGTACTTATTTCAGCTAACAACAGTTATGTTTTAATATTAAAATGAGAAAAATAAGGACAATAATTTTTATAAAATCAAACAAAAGTACAAATATATGATTTGCATATCTTCCTGGTCCAACAGTTTCCAAAATATATTTTGTTTTATTCTTTTTAAAATTTTTCTTAATTGGTACTGGGGATCAAACTCGGGTCCTTGTGCCTGCGAGGCAGGCAGCGGCACCACTGAGCTAAATCCCTGGCCCAAAATGTATTTTTAAATGGCTGCTGCTATTCTGTATTTTATTAGTCAAAGATCACTAGCTTCCACTGCTGTGCCTAACCTGTCACTTTACACTGGCCTATAGAAATATAAGCCTATAACAGTATTCCTGAAATTCAGAATATCTCAAGTAAAACACTGTTTATGTAACTACTTTTAAATGAAACAGTATATATTCAAATTTCTACATATCACATATACTCTAAAAATGATTTTAAGTAAGTTATTTACTTTTCATATAATAGTTTAGCTGTTTGGGGTTTGTTTTTTTTTTTTTTTCTTTTGGTATCAGGGAATCAAACTCAGGACCTTGCACTTGCAAGGCAGGTGGTGGCACCACTGAGCTAAATCCCTGGCCCATATAATATTTTAAATGCAAATGCAAATGTGCCTTCAAGGCAAGTGGAAGGAGCTCTTAACAGTGGTATATTATTGTACATTAGAAGGACAGATGATACAGTTTACTGGCAATCATAAAAGATGAAAGCATTAAGTAGATATGCTGTCTACTTCAACACACTGTTTGAAGTCAAAATAATATACACACACCTTTCACTGTAAATGTTGCAACATATTATGTTATTTATAGCCACAGAGATACACACATGAAACTGAAGTCAGGCCGGGTGACTATAAGTAAGTAAGTAAGTAAGATGAATTAGTGACTATAATGTATATTATATTAAGAACCTAGCAAGTGCTTGATGGCAGAGATCATAAGATGAAAAAATTATAAAGATAAATGCTTAGTAAGTATCCAAAACAGTATGAGCACTCAAATGCTTGTTAGAATGAAATATCTAGGATTACATTCATTTTTCAAATAATGAAACTCAATTTCAGAAAACTTTAGTAACTGCCCAAAGTCACTGAGTTAATTTCTAGAAGAAAAATAAGGATTTAACTTCTGACTCCAAAAACTTGAAAAAATTATAAAGATAAATGCTTAGTAAGTATCCAAAACAGTATGAGCACTCAAATGCTTGTTAGAATGAAATATCTAGGATTACATTCATTTTTCAAATAATGAAACTCAATTTCAGAAAACTTTAGTAACTGCCCAAAGTCACTGAGTTAATTTCTAGAAGAAAAATAAGGATTTAACTTCTGACTCCAAAAACTAAAAACTACCGGCAAAAAACTATATTTTTTTCTACTAGACTTAAGGCAAAATTCAGTAAACATTATTTTTCTATTCAGGAAATTCATGAGAGATTCAGGAATAAATTTTAAGGAAGAGAATTTAAGACCCTAATTCTAAAAAATCTGAGATATGTTTACTAAACAAAAATTGTTTGGTTAAATTTCTCACCTGACTCAATGCTAAAAGTGACTGAATGATGGTGAACCCTACCTTAAGACAGTTACGGAATTAATGAAGGTTGGCCACCTTCAAGTTTGGGATATGACAAATGGTTAGTGTCTGGCTTCCAACCATTAACATTATCCTTCTGTGGTGTTGCTAAGTATATCTGACAACGGAAACCCATTAAAAAGAAAAAACCTGGACTTTATTATTGAACATTCATTTTCCTACAAAGTTCACACAGCAGATGGTGACATTCTATTACTCCCCAGAGGAAATTTTAATCCAAGTACTTAATTAGTGAAAAGAGTGCACATTAATACAAGTCTCTAAACTCTAACTTGATATTACTGTCTATTCAATCTTTACCTTAAATGTGAACTTGAGATGCTGACTGGAATAAAGAGCACTGTATTTTTCATTTATATCCAGTATTAACTACTTTAGCCTCACCAATATCAGGCAAAATTCTATTGCAGAAGATACTGAGTTTCTATGTTGAATATTCTTTCTTCAGGACATTTCATTTTTTACAGCATTAACACAAAGATATAACCTGTTCTCTCATGAAGAGGAACACAAAGTTCTAGCAATTTAACTACTAAACTAATCAAATGCACAGTTCTACAAGTATTCTAATACTGAGAAATATAATTTGTTCTAAATCCTCATAGAGTTTTAAAATAAAACTTTCTTCAAAAATAATCTTTGGCCCAAATGTTCCCAGACTGCCAAAGAAATTCAATGCAAGAAATATATCACACAATGACACTTCCTTAAGATCACAAAGTTCATGAAGCCCAAAGACCTTAAGTCACATTAGCCACTTAAACATGGCTGGGGCAGCTCCAAGAATGTTTAGTGGGGAAAAAAAAAAATCAATGGTCATTATTAGGAATAAAGAAAAATCAGTGCCAGTACAGGCAACTCATAGAATCCACCACACTGCCTAGGTGGCAACCACAACTGCTACCTTTGACAATGCCTCAAAGCCAATCCTAATTCAGTGCAGACTTCTTCCCAATTTTGTTTCTGTATCTGATGCATCTCACTCGCATTCTAGACACTGTATCCTCTGTAATATTAGTGAATTGTGTGACAGTGGGCTTCTGTTTTGTAATAAGCTGTGATGATCTCCAAAATCTAGTTTTTCAATGTGTAATGTCAGTTTGAACCCCAGTTAACAAAAATATAAATTTATAACTCATGAAATATGAATAACCATAATCCAGTAAGGTAAATGAATTTTGATGCTGGGTTCTAAAATAGCATCCTACTCTTGACTCTGTCACTTAAACAGGGCAAGTTAGTGACCATTCTGTGACCCACAGAGACATTTTAATCAGAGTACTTAATTAGAAAAAAATTATCTATTAATGTAAGTGTCTAATTTTATATTTTTATCTATTCTTTACTGTAAAAGTGAACTTAACATGCTGACTTGAATCAAAATAATTTCTTATCTTTATAGCATCTCATAGCATTGTTAAGAGAATTAACACAGAAAAAATGTCTGGGGCACAATTCTTTTGGAGAAATTCCCATAGACCAAGCAATTTAAGACCACTGCTGTTCAAAAACACCAGAGACACCAATGCAGTCCTGTTCAATTCCTCATAGAGAGACCTGTACATACTATAAGCAAAGAATTAAATTTGGGGTTGGAGGTTATAAAGGCTGAAGCAAACATCAGTGAAATCATAAATACCTCACTAAGGAAAAGTAATCAAAACAGTGACCTACCATGTTCATGTTTGTAAGACCAAAAGAGATAATTCTTACAGTTGCCCTGTGAGGGAAAAACATTGCACCAAATATTTGTAAGTCCAAATTCTTTCACCCACCCTTTGATAAATTATGTTCCCAAAGTTAAGCCTCAAGTAAATAAATATGTAAACACATATTTGTCATTTATATCCATTTCCTAAGATTTAGCAATACAATTATTTATGAAATCTAATAATAAAAGTTCCAGTCTTCCCTAGGGCAAAGGAATTGATTTTATTTTATAAGAAATTTCTTTATATTTTAAAAGAAAAATGCTAATTACAAGTCGGCAATGAATACTTAGAACGATGAAATTTTTTTCACAGTTGAACCTTGGTTAAAAAAAGACAATCCCACAACATACTTTAAGAACTTGAGGCTGGGTGTGGTGGCGCATGCCTGTAACCCCAGAACTCGGGAGGCTAAGGCAGGAGGATCACTTTGAGTTTGAGACCAGCCTGGGCTACATAGTGAGTTCCAGGTCAGTCTCAACTATATAGTGAGACCCTGTCTCCAAAAAAGAAAAAGAACTTGAAACTTGAAGATCATAAACAGAGGGCCAGGGATTTGGCTCAGTGGTTCTGCCACCTGCCTCGCAAGGGCCCGAGTTCAATCCTCAGTACCAAAAAAAAAAAAAAAAAAAAAAAAAAAAAAAAAAAACTTATAAACAGAAAGATTCAAATAAATCACAATAGTTGGCACATTATTTTTAACCATTTTCAGGTAAGATAATATCCCATAGCGGTCCATCTTCTAACAAAAGCAATTTTCAATGAAGGGCCAAACCATCAGAGTAGCTGCGTGAAATACTCTCACTTTTTTGTCTCTCCATAGGTTATGGCAGGTGCTTGCCCTCCTTCCACAGTAACTTCTAAGTCACAGGATAAAAACCACCACTATCCTCAGTGCATGTAACAGAAAGCAACGTGTGACACAGCCTTTCAATATTCAGAATTTACTGTTTTAACAGAAGAAGAATTTGGAGAAAGAGCAAAACTAAATGAAACTAAGAAACAGTCTGAAGCAAAAACAAAAGATGCTTGCTCTCTGGTATCTCATTTTTTGTTAATATGAGTAGCTTTACGTCTATGCATTGATAACTGAGATGGAAATACCTATAAATATCAGTTGTGTTTACTTCCTATGAATAAAACAAATCCCCAGAGACTTCAGCATTATTCAATTCTGGTCCTACCACAGAGACTTAATGCTACAGTAGAACACAGTTTATGCTTTAAATTTTTATCGTACAAAAGTTTCCCTGATACATAATTTTATTTCCCTATCGCCCAATTCAAAGGAAATTTGCAACCACATATTAAAATTGATAATGAAGGATTGTGCTCACTGCCAATTAACAATAATGCTTTCAACTTTTCATGAATAAATTAGAAAGCAAAGAATTCCACTATTAGTAAGGTAATTAACCTAAAACACTTTATGAGCTACATAAATACACAAAGCTTACTGCTCCATCTTTCAAGTATATCATAAATCACAAAAATACTGTAGATGAAAAAATGCCTAAATTTATTATCTAAATGAAAGCAATAGAAACCTTTTATCAGAGAAGATGGGTCCTTGTGATCAAGCAATTAGCTTCCAATTAACCAGCAATTAATGATGCCTATACTTTCGTAAAAGGAAAACATGTCATTAAGTACAACATGGGAGTTATGCGACAATGCAGTACAGCACTATACATACTCATGGTAAGAAAGAAATAAACTTAACTACCTTTCCAAGACCTTACACAAGTTTTGCAAGAGTAAGCAAAATCCAAAGGAAGGAAAAACACTGAAAGAGAATTAGAAAGCATAAATTTTTAAAATTCACTTTATTCCAGAATTCTGATGCTTTTTTCCTTCTTACATCCCCATGAAAAGTAAGCATAAACTGGCACAGCTTTGAAAGGAAATCTCTGAACTGTCCAACAAACTTCTCTAAGTCCAGCAATCCTTTAACCCAGCAATTCCACTCCCAGGAATCCATCAGGTTTCAGTCGCAAATGCACTGTTTATAACATCAAAGAAAAACCTAGATACAGTCAAACTAAGGAATATTGTATAACTGTTCAAAAGGAAGAGCTAGAGCTCACAAAGTTATATGGATAAATGTGACATACTCAAATGAAACACACTGCATAATATTTTATAGTATTCCAATGTTTAAAACAATCGCATATACACCTGCATATACATAGGAAATGTGTAGAAAGACATACAGACAAGAAACTGTTAGAACTATTACCTCATTGGAGAGAGACTGAGAAAGGGTTTTCAGGCAGTTTTATTTTTTTTAAATGCATATATATTACTTTAAAATACACCACCCTTAAAATTCCTATCTCCATACTAGTAGTATCTGTGGCCTAGTTTAACAGTCTCTGTTCAATTCATGTCCTAAATTCTTCTCTCTCTGACTTAAAGCTTTCCAATTCAACAAAATCTAACATACACAAGACTTGGCAATCTACCCAATAAACTAACCCAAATTTAAACTATAAAACAGTAGTCTTAAAATTAAAGCAGTTCACAATGATTAGCTCATTTATGCTATATCTGCACTCCCAAAAACTGCATTCCCAAAAGAGTGGGTAAGCAAAAAGACAAATATATCTAAATATTCTCACATGTTCTATAGCACCTGCCCGTCCACTACTATATTCTCGATATCGCCCAAGCATCTGGTCCACTTGTCTCAGGTTCCGACTGGTGTCCTTGAGAAGAAGAAAAAAAAAGACTCGATTAATTATATCAAACATTACATTTCCCAAGCAATCTTCATAGTACGTCAAAGAGCTAAGCCAATAGTTTATGAAATGTACAATCTATAACATAGTTAAATTGGATATCAATGTATTTCATATCAAATAAAGATTAACACCACTGTAAGGAAAACTGAAATCCATCTGCAGTTTACTCCTGTGAAATCTGAACCACATAAATTCTTATCCAAGGTATAAGAGGCAATAAAACCATAAATTAAAAAGGATCCCCATTATCAATTTGTGTATCTTTAACTTACTCCCTCTATACAGAAGCGAAATTCTGAAAAAGCTAATCTAGTAGATTTTGCACAAGAGAAGCAAACCATTAGGATCAATGTCATTTCAAGTATACATTGCTTTACCTCGGAACTTATTTGAAAAGAAAAAGAAAAACTATGACATAATTTTTACCTATGAGCAATGAATATAGTCCTCTAATCAAAACCCAAAAAAAAAAAAATGTTTTCCACCTAAATACACTAGCTTACTAATGTTTCTCACTGGTGGGAAAGCAAAGGGACTCACACTTTAAAATTCTGTTGTTGCATTAGTTTAAAAAAATAAAACTTATTTTTAACTATACCTTCTCCACCAGAAATTACTCTCTTCATCTAAATATGTTAACCAAAAGCAATTAACAGCCAAGATCCATCCGTATCCAGGGTAAGATAAAAATAAGGGATGGATGAATAAGAAAAAATTTAGATTTCTGTGTTCTCTTTTTCCTGTGACCATACCACCCTTCTTTCACTTTATTCCCAAGCTTTTTTATGTGGATACATACTGCCTCCTCTCAAACATCCCAACACTGTCAAAAGTTAGCCTCTAGATCAAGACAGTGTCTTTATATGTATTACTCACCCTGAAATAATCTATTTCACCAAACCTCTCTAAAGGTACATGTGTACAAGAAGCTAAACTATGTTAACTACAGTATTTTATTTTGAATTATTGTTTTATCCCAAAACACTCTGAACAATCTCATATATCTTTACAATGGTAGGCAGAATCTGTGTATATGTATTTTATATTATAAAGGGGATTTTATGAACATAACTAAAGACCTTGAGATTTGAAGTATGGATTACTGAGAGGACCAAATGAAATCACAAGCATCCTTAAAAGAGTAATGGGGGCTGAGGACATAACTCAGTGGTGGAACATTTTCTTAGTATGCATGAGAAACTGGGTTCAATCCCCAGCCTTGGAGTGTAGGGGGAGGACAAGGAAGGCAGAGGTAGTTGGTGTGGGACAGTATAAGAATACTTCAACCCACTCTTTCTGACATGGAAGGTAAATGGAGGGAGTCACAAGGCAAGAAATGTGGAAAGAGTCTAAAATCTGGAAAAGGCAAGCAAATACATTTTCACACACAGTCACCTGCAGAACTATATGATTATAAGATTTGTTGTTTTAAGATATTAATTTCATGGTAATGTTATAGTAATAAGAAAACTAAAACACTGAAACTACTACTCTCCTCAAACTATCTAAAATCTATTTAATGCAAACACTAACTAACCTGTAAAGTACTTGTGATAGTGTTGACCTTCTCTGCAACATCTACTGTAGGGTAACTTCGAGTTTCTCTGTGAGCTGACCCGGCAGCCCATCGACTCAGTCGGTCACGACAGCGGAAGTGCTCTGAATCACTAGATGATTCTGCCATTGATGTACACAACTCCTTAAAAGTAAATCCAAGTCAAGGTCAGTCAAACAGTAAAAAACACAAAAGTAAGAGATTAACTGTTTACTATTTGATATTTTTAGGTATTTATTGCATTGGTCTTCCAGCATATCATAATTTGTACACACAGAACTTCAAAATATCAGAAGTTGCTTCCCCATGTAATTCTCCCTCCTTTGTTTTCTCTGCTTTAAGAGAACAACTCCTAAAGTACAGTTTTAAACATGTTTACAATTCCAAATAATTACTTATTATTCCTTAGATGTGTGCAATGCTTCCAATTTGTAAAAGTACCTACATATATATCTCACTTAATCCTACCAAAAAAATCCACAAACAAATAAGAAAAATAGATTCCCTAAAATTAAGACTTGCAATTATCTTACTGGTTTGATGTCCATTCTACTAAGTTATAAAAACATAAGTAGCCTTAAACATAAAAATATTACAGATATGTAACACACAAGCCTACAGTAAGAAACTCCCATTCAGTGTATAGTGAAAATTCTCATGCATTTTCATTTAAAAAGTAGAATTAAAGAAATGCTGCCATAGAGATACATAATTCACAATAATGCATTTATAAGAAGATGACATCTTCAACATCACCAACAAAATAGCCAAATAGCCAGAGTACAATTTCATCAATGGAAAATTTTCAAAGCATGCTTTTCTCCCTCTTTATTTCAATTACCCATTTAATGTATAGGATTTAGCTCAGTGGTTCCGCTGCCTGCCTCACAAATGCAAGGACCCAAGTTCTATCCCTGGTACCAAAAAAAAAAAGAAAAGAAAATTACTTCAAATAAAAAAAAAAATCTCAAATTTCAAAAAGCCTTTTAATAAAAGACAATCAAATACATTTAGAACAAAAAAACATCAGGGGAAGTTCAACTGATCAAAAGTGAAAGTTTAATGAGATTCCAATAATTTATTTTCTGCATAAAGGAGGGTTAACTCAATGTTATTCTATCACCGATTAGTATAATCTTCAAAAGTCTATCCGGCCTTTTTTCTCCGGCTTGTTACATACAGTACAATAAAACTATTCTTTAATGACAGAATATTCTGGAATTTCTGGACCTTTATTCTGACAACCTGGTGGAAGCACATAACTATACATCTCAAGAGAGGGCAAAAGGAACATGCTAAATGTGTATAGATTGCAGAACATTTAATAAAAGCAATTATGTTTTCATAATATAAAATAAAACTAAATATATATAAAAAATAAGCAAGGTACCTTGCTGTGAGTTTAGGCTTTTCAAAACAAAACACAGTCTGTTCTGGCTGCATCAGAAAGTGAATCAACAGAATACCCAATTTCTTCACACTAGGTGAGACAGGGTTAGAGAAATTCTGTCAAACACCCTTGCTTCTTTCTGTGTCCATTATTCTCGACTTCTTTCTGCCCCTATTCTGTGGTTCTTGCCTCTTTCTATGTGTAAGTACAGAGGAATCTAGCCCTTGTGGTTCCTTCCCACATCGGGAAGCAGAAACAAGAAACTAAAACTGAAGCAACTGTGTGGCTTTGCTTTGCCCAGCTCACAACTGTTTAAGTCCAAAGGAACAAAGATATTACAAAAAGGAATCTTACATGTAAAGTCTGCATTTAAAACTTAAAAATCACTTCTGGATATATCGCATGACCTTTCAGTTCAAGTTTAACTACTTTACACTATTTTTCTATTAGTGAAAGAAGACAGAACCAACATTTTCTGAAAATCTGCTATGACGCTTGTACAGATAATCCAATTTATTTCTCATAAACAACTAAAAAAAGAAACACTATTAACCCTAATTTACAAAGGATGCTGAGGCTAAAAGATGTTAAATAACATATTCTACTCCATTCAGTGACTACAAACCAAGCAGAACCAAGATGCACACCCAGGACTCAGCCGGCCTTCTCTCTCTCCAATACCACACTCATTCCACTTAACCCTGCTGTCTGTTACACACTTGGTGGACAATCCTATTACTAATAATCACTAAAGCCAGCAGCAGGCCATGGCCAACTCCCTCTCATTTCATGCCATTTCCTTGATATAAAAATATCACAGAAAGGAGGAAATATTAAGTAGTAAAAAAAAATCCTAACTAGGCCCAGAAAAAAATAAAACTAACTGATATGTCTATGCTACATTTAATAAAGAGTCCTGCAAACAAATCAAGCCACTGGCCTCAGAATAAGAGGTATGTTTTCCTGATTCAGTCCATCTCCTGTATAAGAGAAAAGAATAATTATGCCTAGGAGCTTTCACTTTCTTAACAAAATTATAAAGTTAATAGTATAACTTTCATCTTAGTAAGTCATAATTGTAGAAACTAAATTAAAGTTAAGAAATCATCAGAGAACATGAAAAGGCAATGTTGAAAACAACAATGTGTTTACTATAATGGCTGCTGCCGAAAACAAGGTCCGAAACAATTATCTTTAGAGAAAACTTCATTTTGCTAACAGTAACATAATTTTAATAATAATCAGTTGCTTTATACATAACAACATTGCATATAAATGATAAATCAGACAATTTGAGCTTCAATGTGACTAAAAGTTAACACTGAAATTGTTACAGGTCTTTTTAATTTATAAAAATGTTTAAAATACATAATGTGATTACACACATATATTACCTATAATACTTAACATTAATGATGAATATCATTCTGAGATGTTTCTAATTAATAAAATATTTACAACAGCATAAAGTCTTGGTATCCTCCCATCCCATCTCTCACCATCCCCCATCCAGTACTATTCTGCCCCACCTTCCCAGGAAAAACCACTAGCATGATTTCATGCATAACTTTCCAACTATTTTTTTAATTTTACCAGAAGCCTAGGTATCTCAAAATCTTTTTCATGGACACAGATTATAATCAGGTGATAAGTATTAATAGGTGAAAATAGGAAGTATCTGAATTTACAGCAGAAAATCTTAGTGGCATTAAATAAAGTTAAGAGCAACATTAAATTATTTCCAACTGTCACACGATACAGGAAGGAAAATGTTCTCTCACCCCAACTAAGACTACATACTTTTAATAAGATGGCATTACACTTTCCACATGAGTTTTACTAGTACATATACACAGTCTTCCACTATTAATTTCAATTATTTTGCACAATAAAAAAAAATGAATCTCTGATAGAGCTATCAAGTCTTGAGATATGTCTGAAAGATTTTCATGGATTTTTTAAGCATACAAAACATTTAGCATCCATCTAAGGATTTCAACTATATGTGTCATCAATGTTAAATTAAGCAAAGTTAAAGAATATGATTATAGTAAAAATAGAAATATTTTATTGTCATTATTGGTAAAACCTTGGCACTTTCTGCAACTAATATCAATAATTCAAAAGGAGGTCAAACATGATGAGCAGGGCTAACTTGACTGGCCACCTACCCACTAAGTGCCACAATGCAGAAAGGAGCCGTGGTGGCCAAATTACATTCCTACCAAAAGATGCCAATCTATCATCAGCCAATGCCTCTACTCCCCAGACATAGAGCTGATGGAGAGAAAAAAATACAAATGAGTGGAGTGATCACTGAGGCTGGCAAGAGAAGCATAACACTTAATCAGAATCAAGGGTAGAATATGTGGAGGGCCATGAAAATATAACTCAAAAAAAAAAGTAGTACCAACTATGCAATCTTCATTCATCATTAACAAAGTATTATTTTATGCTACACTTAAAATATATATAAAGTATGTTGTATATCACTGACATTAAAAAAAACTGACCAAAGAAAATACTCTCCAATGAAACTGCCTAAAATATTTGTCAGGCTATGTTGACAAAAGCATACTGAAATGGTCACATAAGAAATACAGTTAGGAAAAAATGTTCAACCTAATAGTCAAAGAAATGTAAATTGAACAATAAAATGCCATTCTAGCCTATTATTTTCTTTTAAATATTACCCAACTATAGCCCAGTTGCAGGAGAAAGAGAACTCACACTCTGGATGCCAGCAAAAAAAAAAAAAAAAAAAAAAA